TATTGATATTGATAGTCATAAAAACAGCATCCTCTGAGAGGACTACTTGCCCGGCCAGCCCCTGGAGCCCGCATGGTCACCAGGCCCAGGGATGACGACGTAGATATTGGGGATATATAAGTATATAAGGCTATGGATATATAAGTATATAAGGCTATATGTGGGATATATAGGGATGTTGGGGATATACAGGGATGCTTGGGGAAGTATAGGAGTGTAGAGGGATATACAGGTATATATTACGGGTTTAGGATTCCCCAAAGTGTGGAAATTGCCGAAGGAATGTGGAATGACATGGAAAACAAAATGGACAGTGACACAGACGCTCTGTTTCTGTAGAGGTTTATAGAACAAGGATTCGAGTTCTTCGGGGTGTATAACAACAGGGACCCCCTGCTTGTGGAAACTACGGATGGTAGTGATGTCGGCTGTGATGATGGCATTGGCGGTGGCGGTGGCGGTGGCGGTGGCGGTGGCGGTGGCGGTGGCGGTGGTGGTGGCGGTGGCGGTGGCGGTGGCGGCAGTTCGGCGGCGGGGGCGCTGGTGGCCGTGGTGGCGGTGGCAGTGGTGGTGTGGCGACCGCGGCGGAGGTGGTGGTGGCGGCGGCGGTGGAGGTGGTGCTAGTGGCAGTTGTAGTGGTAGTGGTGGTGGTAGCAGTGTCACGAGCAGCAGTGGCAGAAAGGATGCGGAATCGCACACAGGCAGGAGCAAGAATTATTAAACCACACCAGGCTCTAAACCGTAAGCCCCAAACCTTGAATCCCACCGTCTAAACCCTGACCCCTCATGACGGCAGGCTGTGAGAAGTGCTGGGATGATGAGAAAGGCCGCTTCGTTGCCAGGGTCACCTTGCACTTGGGGGGGGGCTCTGGAAGTCACATGGCCGGTTTGGGGTTTGGTTCAAGGTTCAGGGTATGGGGCCTTTACAGTTTTGGGTCAAGAGTTTGGGGTTTGTGAATGTTTCTCGCATTTGTGGTAGCCTAGACACCCTGAGATTTTTTATTGTGTATGTGGGTCGTTCTGAGAATGAGGCTTACCTTATCCTCCGATGATTACCTGCTTGATGTAGAGTTCTGGGTCGAAGCTTCTGAAACCAATTCTTGGAGATCCTTCCTACGCCAATGTTCTGGTTGGGGGTACTAGGCGGAGCCCTGATGTGCTAAAGTGCAATGGACGTGTACCAAAAAAGAAGCATGGCTCCTCATGGATCCCTTCATTGTTGCGTCGATAACTTAAGCAAGGCAAGTTGTGAGTTGTTCCCTCAGAACAACCCTGAAAGCTAAACCTTGAACTTCAAACCCTGAACCCTGACTAATCAAAGGAAGAATGAGCTTTCCTGTCTATACATGAGTTCTCGCCCAGGGCAACTTTCACCCTCTGAGGGAAGCCCTATGTGGACATGTATGAAAACACAGGTTCTCCCTTGTGCTTGCCTACTAATGGGATTGATGCTGGGATCTTAAAGCACGCACTTGTGGGCTTTCTCTTGTGGAGCAGTCAGCGTGACGCTCAGAGCTCTTGAGTCGTTTGATTCACCTGCGCATGTTCAGCACCTCCTGCGCCCAAATCCTTATGCCGACCTTCTCAGGCATGAACACTAAGCGTACTTGAGTCGAAGACATTCGTGACCTGGTAATTCTCTAGACCTCTACAGTACACGTAGGCCAGTCCTAAGAAGCCCTTCCTTCACCCTGACATGACTTTGACATGTGCCAAAAAAGTCCTTCAAGAGACAAGCTGTAACATACCAAAGCCATGGTCGAATACTTACACAACGCCTTCATGGAAAAGACTTTGTGGCCCGAGCATAAGACCCAATGTATGGGGCTTCGTAAGAAGCACAGACGGAGCTTCTTTTGTTTCTAGCATTGGCGAAGTTCTTTCTTTTTCTGGCACGGCTACGAAGGCATAAATGCCAACGAGGAGGTCAACTCTCAGATTGCAGCAACCTGCAGGGTAGTACTCCAGGGCCTGCAGAGTGAGACAAGAGAGCTCAGAGATGTCCCTCTCCGGAACACTTTCGCGGCCTTTTGTCAGCGTGCGCGGGAAGTGGGAAGTGACAGGTGCGTTTCGTCAAGGGCATGATGTTCAGCTGGTGCATGGAGATCACGTTCTGACAGAGGCGGGTTCGACATCGTTGATTTCTATGGGCTTGTTTAATGCCACCAACACTGATGCGGATTCGACATGCCTGGTGAAGAAAGTTTCATTTGACATGAAGACTCTCCAGATGATAGGTGCAAGGTGGAGTCCACCGCCACAATTTGATCAAGCCCTTTTCGACAGCCAGCGGCGCAGCGAGGAGTGGGCAAAAGAGGCACAAGAAGCTCGCGAGAAGCGTCTGAATCAGCTAGTGGCGACCGCGCCCAAAGAGTTGTCGGATGAATAGGCAATCGCCCACGGCTGAAGGGCGAGCTGGTCCATGCTGCTTGCGGCCGCGATACGCCCCCCAATATTACCTCCAAGCACAATAAAATGCGCCTGGCATGAGCTTTCTGTTAATGATTGCCTTCATGGCCCGCAAATGACTCAAAAGTGTGCTACCTGCTTGGGGTCCTTTGTGACAAAACCAGGTTTCGGCTCAGCCTTTTGGACCCTTGATTTTTGATAACTACCACCTGCTCTGGGATATCGGGCAAATGCTGCCTGCACAAGCTTTCGCAAGGCCAGAGTCAGCAAGACTTCGCAATCATGAGCAGCAGCAGTTATGCGAAGAAGGAGTAGGATTGTTAGCGGTAGCAGAAACTGTGGTAGACATAGAAGAAGCCATGCTAGCAGTGTAGTGCAGAAGGAAGAAGATGAGCAACAGGAGATGAAATGAGCTGTAGTCTAAACTCCTCTTTGGGGGGTTTATGTAGGGGATATAGGGGTATGACACGGGATATTACCGGGGATACGGGAGTAGCGCTCAAACAGAGCTACGACGAAAGCGTGGAATCTGCATCCTCAAAGGTTGGCATCGCATCTCAGAAGCAAGTTGCAACTGTCGATTGAGACTATGGCATGATATGAGAGGTATTTGGGGATATTATGGTACCCCATATAGATTTAGACTATGCCCGTCTTTTGGGTATAGTATTTCATACAAAGAATATATATATATACATATAATCTTACTTGGTTCAACCACCCAAAAAACGCTAGTGATACATGCGACTGGGTATTCTTGAACTTCCAAATGTGGCAAAGACTCTTGCAAGCAGCAGCTCCTGGACGTTCAGGGTAGGAGACAGGCTGTTTTCTTGCAATGGCAAAGGCTTATTATTTATGGGCGGGAATAGTGACTAACAGGGTTTACGGTTTAGGGCTTGGGGTTTATCATTAGTCACGGCGCCCAAAGATCCCGCTCTGGCAAGTGATCCATGTGTTTGTGACCGGAAAGGTTTAGGGATGAATCAAAGGAAAAGGATACCTGCATTGCGGATGTCTTGCGTGGATGAAGGCCCATTTGTAATGCGTCAAGATGCAGGAAGTTGTACCAAAAGTGGCAGAATAGGGCCCGCATTTGTCCATGATTCAGACAACTGCGTACGGTAGAATGACTGATCCTCCATTAGCAAGCCCTTGACATCTTTTTTTACCAAAACGAATTGATTTGAGACCGCAAGGGCCAATGTAGGAAGCAGACCTCGTTTTCTTCTTTGATTTTTTCTGAGTAGAGCCTTCCAGAAACATGCGTGGCTTCCTGGGGTCCTTAGAAGCAGAGCATAGCATTTGTGCAAGTATCAGAATCGACATGCTCAAGTTTGAGAAAGTACTCGTTTGCGGCAGTGGTCCAACTTAGGACGCTTTTGACTTGTACCCCCCCTCTTCCTCAAACCAGTGCGTCTGAGTGCGCCTCAGCCTGGGCATCAACTCATACATAAGCTATAGTCTAAACTCCTAGTATCCCCCTTAATAACCCCTACAGTAGTCCCCTATAGAGTCCCCTACATAGGCCCCCTTTTAGGAGTTTAGACTATAGCTCACATAGTGACTTCAGCTCATAGCCTCCAATAACTTTCTCCTTCATAGATAGCGTATTGCCCCCATTCTGTAACAGTTTGACAATATTCATAATATGCGTATATATAACCCTTAATTAGACGGTCCTTGATCTGACCCCTAATATAGACTGTCCTTAATAAAGACTGTTGCACTGTGGGGGCTGTACCCAACTCATAGGTCATAGGGGAGCTTCGGGATGTGAAGCGGTGAGAGGGCAGAGTGGGTCCTAGAGAGATAGTGAGCAGTGCAAGCTTGATGTGTGGGTTTCCCCAATAAATTCCCTAAAGGGCTCTAAATAGGGGAGTACTACAGGGGATAGTAAGGGGGATGCTAGGAGATTTGACTATGGGTCATATATTCAAGGCTAACTCTTGCTGAGTCCAGATTGCAAATTTCTAGCTGCCGTGTGGGCCAAAATCTGCTTGAGGACTTCAAATTACTTGCCTTTGGTTAGCTGGATTGAAGGAATGGAAAAGAAAATGGAAATTACTATAGGGTTTCAGGGTTGAGGGTTTAAAGTCTAGGGTTTAGGGTGGGAACGGAGGAATGGAAGAGAGAGTGGACACTACTATATTGGGTTATATAGGGACTACTAGAAGGATCCATTCCTTCAGTCCTAGCCAACCAAAGGCTAGATTATCCCTCCGTATCTTGGTTCCTGAGCCCGCTTGCGTCTCTACTTTCAGCCGAAGCCTGACGAACAGCCAGTTGCCAGTTTACACTTTTGTGCAAGTAGCAAGCCTTGCTTTTAGAGAACAGATGGCCCAAGGGTTTTCCTACCCAGTACAGGTTGCCGCTTCTTTACTTGCATCAGCCAGGGTCCAGGCAGCACAAGTAGAGTTGACCGGAACAAGAACCATTGCGATCTTCTAGGAATGTTTGATAGTATTGTTATAGAAGCACTCGCAGACCGATCATGGGGCTTCTTTGAAGATTTTTTTCCGGGGCAGTGCGGGATTCTTCAGAGTATCCTAGGATTTCTGCTGCGCTAGGGGTTGATGTGAGGAGTTGTGATGGCTACCCGCATGGCAGACGATGCTGCTGACGCCACGCAAGAATCTGATTCTGAGGCTGCTCCAACATGCAAGATAGTACTCCATGGCTTGCAGGGTGAGAGAAAGGAGCTCAGAGATGTCCCTCTCCGGGAGACTTTTGCTTCCTTCTGCCGACGTGTGCGAGAAGTGACAGGTGCGTTCCATCATGGGCATGACGTTCAGCTGGTGCATGGAGCTAAAGTTCTGACAGAGGCAAGCTCGACACCGTTAATTTCTATGAGCTTGTTTAACGCCACCGATACTGACGTCGAGCTGACATACCTGTTCAAAGAAGTTTTACTGGACCCGGAGAATCTCCACATGGGCTTCACATCGGTGCCAGCAAGGGACAGTCCACCGCCTGCGTTTGATCAAGCGCTCTTTAATGGCCAGCGGCGCTGCGTCGAGTGGGCCAGGGAGGTGCAAGCATCCCGCGAGATGCGCTTGGAGCGGTTGGTGGTAGCCGTACCTCCGGGCATGTCGGAAGCCCAATTGTGCATAGGCAGCCGCCAACGGCTCCCAGGCGAGATTGCTGATGCTGCCTGGGGCCGCGCAATGGAGACCAGCCCTGGGCAAACCTTGGTTTATATGTACGAAGGCCAAGCGGACAGCTAGTAGGCGTATCCCAAAAGGGATCCCGGAATGGGCAGCCAGCATTTTCATCCGCTTGTGTAACTCCAGCTGCGCAAAATGCGTAACATTGGTTGGAGGCTAATTTGATTGGGTTGACATAGGATCGTACATAGGCTTACTGGTTCTCAGTGGAATATGATCCCTATATAGTACTTGTAGTAGTAGAATATATTCCTGTATGCCCTACTAACCACCAGGGAGTAGGGTAGTAGGATGGAAGGCCTTTAGCATGGTCCCTTATTGAAAGCTTCGGCCTAGACACGCCAAATGCCCACACACCCTGAAGGCCCGTTTCTTGTTGGGGGTTGAGGACTTTGGTCTGGGGCTTGGGCTTAGGGTTAAACCCTAAACCCCAAACCCCAAGACAAATTCTAAACCCTTTAGGACTTTTGAGTTTGGGGGGCTGGGTGTTGATGGTCGCAGGCCTGACAAGCTTTTAAAGTACAGTAAGGCAGGAGAGCAACCATATGGGTAGTTCCCAAAATTAGGGGCCCCCTTTGGCTATAGGGTATTTTACGGCATCTAATACTTGCGGGTCCCAAAATGGGAGTGTAATTTTGGGAGCTACCCAGATCGCTCGCAGTACAAATTATTGCAATGCAGGTGGCAGCGTTGTCAATTTTCACCTTGGGTTCTGCCCCCAATCATTAACAGTTGGATAAGGTTTTTAGTACGATTATATAGGGCCCGCTATTACAGACTGTTACTGGGGGGGCAGTGCCGTTTCCGAGCCTTAGACCCTCAGTCATGGTTCTCGTGCAGGCTGCCTGCCACGGATACGTGGGGTAGATGCTGCGATCATCAAGCCACTGAGCTGCCGACTTCTGGGGAGATATTGGTTTTTAGAGTTTACGGTTTAGGGTTTTAGGGTCTAGGGTTTTAGGGTCTAGGGTTTTAGGGTTTAGGGTTTTGGGGTTTAGGGTTTTGGGGTTTAGTTTTTTTTGGGTTTAGGGTTTAAGGTTGCAGGTATAGGGGTTAGTTGTTCAGGGGTTTAGGGGGTCCGGGGTGTATAGGGCTTTACGGGATAAGGTCTTTTCAGTGTTGGAATTTCGGGTTTGGGGGTGGAGGTTTAGGGTTTTAGAGGGTCTAGCGTTCGGGTTTTGGTGGATTAAGGATCAAGGTTAAGGGATGGGGGTAGGGGTCTAGGATAATGAGCCAAAATACGACTTTGTCAACATAACCTGTATAGAATCCTTGTAAGGGCCCCCCTTAATACCTGCACTTAGGGCAGCTGTCTAGGCGATGGGGATCTTGGCATTCCGAATTATAAGACAGAATGGGAGTGCGTCTTGCAAATCTCGTAAGTTGAGCATGTTTTTTTTAGGGTTCCCAGTAAAACTGCGTTTTCTGCTAGCCTGGGATACATCTGTGCGAGGGAAGTGACTTCTCATTTCTGGAGGGTAGGAAGGAACGTGTTTGGAATGCTTGGTATGAAAGGCATGAAGGGCTAAGTGTTGTTGCATTTTTTACAGAGGCGGCCTTTTAGATGCTGTGGTTTTTGCTGTAGCCACGAGATTTTGGCAGTCCATGTCCCTTTAACTCCGGGTAGACTGCATGGAATCAATTTGTGGATGCACGCGCAAGCAACCTGTCAGACCATGAGTCCCAAAGCCTTCAGTCGCTGGTGAGTTCAGGAGTTGTGGTCCTGAGGAGTTTGTTTGTTATGTTTGTTTGTTTGTTTGTCCCTAAACCCTAAACCCTAAACTTGTTTGTTTGTTTGTTTGTTTGTTTGTTTGTTTGTTTGTTTGAGCCTCATAGCCCAGCTCGACTCCCACTTGTATACCTCAAGTCATGCTCCGGGGTTGAAGCAGTGTTTGTCAGCTGGGCAATAGTTCCCTCTCAATAGCGCGTGGAGCAAGGCCTATTCTGAGAAGGGCTCGACAGCCCAAACCCAATCCTGAACTCTTCCGCAGTCCAACGCTGAACCTTGAATTCTGGCTTGAGACTTCACTTGCTAAAAGTGATATAATGGGGACAGATGGGGACTGTAATGCTTAAGTTCCATTGTGGTTTGTGGTGGCTAGTGCTGATTGGGGAACCCAACGTAAGCCCTACACGCAAACCCCTACACCTCAAGCCTTAACCCCTAGATCTTGAACCCTGAGCCCTACACCTCTGAACCCTGAAGCCTAAACCCCGAACTGTTTGTAAGGCCTGAGGGCAGGTCCAAAGACCTGATGTTCTATGGCGTGATCACCCTTGCAGTCATAGCGGGTGTCTGGGTCAGTGTTGGATTCAGAGTGGGCGGTCCAAAGGGGTTTAGTTTAGTTTCAATGGGCTTTCTCCTGGAGTGTATATTTTGGTTTATCAGGATATCCTGGAAAATTGATGGGGGTCAAATTCCCATAGAGGCCATAGGGATATGATGGGGTGACAACGGGCAGTTTGGCCCCTAAAAACAACACTTGGCATACATAGAGATGACATTAAATCCGAAACCTTAAACATTAAACCCTACTCCTTCAAGCCTCAAGCCTTATATTGACAATACGGGGGTCTCTCTTCCAGGATTCTGAGATTTTTTTAAATGTCCGTTCTAGGCATACTGTGGCCTTAGATCCTGAAACCCAAAAAGCACAGCCGCAAAAGAGCGGAGACAGCAAGTTGTTGTTCCATAGCGTTCTGGTTGGTAGTAGGTCATGGAAAAATGAACCCTTGCCGTTGTTCCTGCATATTTCCTGGTAAAATAGCAGTTTCCATTTTTTCGTTCCTCCTACCCCCTATTAACTCCTTGGGACTTAGCTTGGACCTTAGACCCTTAAGCCTTTAGAATTCCCTCATATTCCTATTATAGGTACCTAAGATTTAATCCTTAGTAGGGGTCCTACGTGCCACCCAGGTTAGTGATAAGATCAAAAGTAGTCTCCATTTTGTTACCAACATTACGCAAATGTACTATAGTGGTTTCCATTTTCTTTTCCATTATCCCAATATAGAACCCCTAAACCCTAAACCCCCTAAACATATGGGTAGCATTATTATAGTAGTTTCCATTTTCTTTTCAATTATCCCAATATTAACAACCAGTAAACTAATTGATAAAGGCGGCCTGAGCCTGCTCCTCCTGGTGAATGTCGCTTGGCTGCGAGCTGCTGGGAGTTGGGATCGGTAGGCTTGGGATCATCTACGGCTTGCCTAGGGGTCGAACGCTTAACCCTAAACCCTAGCTTAAGCCCTGAACCCTAAACCCTAAACCCTAAAAAAGCTTAAGCGCTAAACCCTAAACCCTGAAAAGCTTAAGCCCTGAACCCTAAACCCTAATAAAACTAAGCTGCCTGTGTGTGGACGAGTTTTGGCTTGGTGATCTAGGCACCCCGTGCCTGACCTAGCTCTGCTGTAAAGCATTCTGACGGCACAGGTAGTTGGAAAAGAGCCCTGCAAAAAAACTAAGCCCTAAACCCTGTCTGGATCCTTTCATGGGATCATCCTTGCAGTAGCTGGGGTTGCATGGGGAGTAGGGTTTGCGAGTCTCCGGATCTGGATATGGGGATTTCCCAAAATTAAGGTTACCGTTTTGAGGGTCCTTCTGATAAGGATTGAAATTTTCTGGGGTCTATATCAATGTCCTCCTATTCAGGGAAACTACCATATAGACTCACGAAGAGCTGGCTTTGCCCGTGTTTTTCCAATTGTGGCGCTTGTATTGCTGGCTGGAAGTGCCTCGTAATAGTTCTACCCCTATATCTAGTGTAGTTTCCTGTTCATTTCCATTGTATTTTCCATTTGATTCTCCAGTATTCCTCTATTCCTGAATCCTGAACCCTCAGAGGGAGGGGATCAGTCGTTTTGCAGCCCTTGTGGTGTCAAGCGAGTCGAGTGGTCTACCCACTTTCCCGCTTTTAGGATGCAGGGCCCAAGCCCATTTAGACATCAACGTGTATTTTAGTGTGTGTATATATATACATATATATATATATCTTATAGTACATTTATAACAGGTAGTAGTATACCTCTAGAGTCCGTTGCAGTATGCTAGTGTGTATATAGTCATATCCATGTACAGAATATGAATGTATATACATATATATACATAGCACATTGTAGTGTGAGTATATATATATATAGGGCAGCTATATATGTATATGTACTATATATATATGTATGTAAACAGTATATGTATATATAGTTGTGTCTGTATATGTATATACGTACATGTAAATATATAATAGTAGATATATACATTGTATACACATCTCCATATGTATATGTATATATATATACACATATACGTATGAATGTTTAATACTCTAGTATTACATTATAAAGTATACGATGGGGAAACTTTGATGATGCCGTTTTAAGGACAAGCCTTGTGATAATGTATCGCCCTGGCCGCTTCTGCGCTCAGCAACAGTTGCCATTCATACCCTGATAAGCAAGATGTCCAGCGCCTACTTGAGGCATCCAAAAAACAATCTGAAACTGCAAGCACTACTCACTCACCCAAACCATGTGTAGAACTTATGTATTACCAGTACATACCGTGTACAATTATGGGCATTGCGCACTTGCTCTCATATACCAGGATCTGGGTTTTGACCCAAAAAGAAAATGACGGTGGCCAATCCAGGTAGGCCTAGACCCTAAGCTTTCGCCCGAATTTCACTCTAGAACATCGATCCAGGCCTGTAGAAAGTCTCCCGCTCGCCAAGTTGACGGTGCTTACGGGATGGCTGTTGGGCGGCAAGTGATGTGGATGATTCACGGGCATATAGGTGATCATGTGATGCGTTTGTGTTGAACGCGAAATCAGGGTGGCAAGGGATGAAGCTCGGATTCAAGGCCGGGTGGTCTTGATTGGAAAACGACAACAGCATCAGCACAAGGATGATGCCAACGTAGATTCCAAACTTTGCAAACAATGCGGCTCCTACTCATTTTCCAGAGGCCCCCAAAAAGACATGAAAGCCATACACCATGTAGGGCTATCTAGGCTTTATGGTTTCAGGAGAGTGCTTTTTTTACAGGGCTATGAGAAATAT